CACACACACACACGTATGATTTACAGCATTGTATGGCTGCAGGGAGATGGAGGAAGTGGCACAGTGGCCGTTTAATCCCCCTCTGGCCTACTTCCTGCTCGGTGGCATGCTGGGCCCGTTTGCAGTTCTCTGCACCGCCCACCCCTGTATGGACACACACATGCACACATGTCCACATTAATTAGAGACACGCACACCCAAGCGTGCGGCAAAGGTTTGCGTCATTCATGTCTTCACCACAAAGCACTGAATCAAAAATAAAGGCTTGAGTCAAAACCGAATAAAGGACAAAGATTGTTCTGCAGCCTCTGACGCAGCAAACATGATGTTGCACCTTAAATCTCCAAGAAAATAGATTATTTCACATCTCCAAGCAAAAACCCTCTGTTTTATTTCCTTGTAGTAAGGAAGGTGTTTTCAGTCCAATCCCATTTCACTCCTTCTGTTTTTCACTTACTGTAGCTCCATCCCTCCTTACCGGGCCGGGATGACCTGATTCTGGAGGATGAAGCAGTGAGGCGGCCTGCTCCTTTTACAAACTGAGATTTTTCAGAGGCACACTTCAAACAGACCGTCGCATATCCCCCACTGTCCTTCATGCTAGAGTTTTCCACTGAGATCATCTTGTGTTGAGAAATGATTGAGTTGTAGACCAAAATGTGAAATGAGATTAAACATAATCTGATGCAATACTGGGATATTTTTGTGTGATCCGTTAGTGCTGGGGGGTGTACTGGGAACGACTCTCAGCTACTAACTCGTTAGAATTTAAATTATGTGTGAAATTTGCTGAGGTATAAATATTTTTGTGTTGCTTGTGGCAGCAGTAGATACGTCCAAGGATTGGGCTCTGAAAGTGTCAATCAAATCCAGTTAGTGAGTACATATTTTGCTAACAAACATAAAAACAGGGAAAAGCAAAATAACTCAAGTGAAACATGATGGAAACCATTATTATGACTCCTGCATGCAACGTTTAGTTTTAGTTAATTTACTTTCAAGGTTTGTGGTCAACCGTAGCACAAAAACGGCTGCACTGATCAAAGTGAAATTTATCAGGAATGTAGCTGACGACCTGCACTGCAGCAGCCAACAGTTTTAGGATAGACCCCATTTTTGAGGAGGGGGCTTCGTCTAAAGAGGTGTGTCTGAACATACAAAAATGCTTTATAACTCAAACTATTCAGCATAGGAACTTCAGATTTTATTTATTGTTTAGCTCTGATGAAAGGCTATCCATCTGACCCACCAATGTGCCCCCCCCCCACAAAAAAATAAATAAATAAATAAAAAATCTGCTCTGATGACTTCTAAATTGTACTACATTGGTGCATTGCTTACTGGCGGGGGTCATATATGCTATCGCTACGCAGCATCTAGTTTTAATACGTGCTAACGATCCAGTCCAACTTTATTTGTAAAGCACTTTTTGCACCACAGCACACCAAAGTGCTGTACAGAATCAACACTCCAACACAGCTCATAC